TGCTCGCACCCATTCCCAAAAGGCATCCAAGCGCTCAGAAGATCGTCAGAAGGGTTCAGCTGATGGTCTCATGCACAACCTGGGATTGCCGTTCCATGAGGATGTGTGGGCGCGTGTGGTGCTGAGTCACCTGTTCCAGGAGAACAACCAAGCAGCCGCCCTTGTTGGATCACGGTTGCCTTCCCTTGCAATTGGCCCTACAAGACCAACTTCGACCAGGCCACCTGTACGCGTGTGCCAAGATTAATGCCCCTCCAAAGCTTGATGTCGGAAGCGGCCCAAAAAAATGTCCAACTGGTTTTGACGCGGCACTATGCATGCGGGTGTATCTTTTCTGCGGATTCCCTTTGTCATGGAAGTAGGCAAAGAGGGGTCTTGTCAACATTGGGGGTCCCGTGTGGTCCCCTTTCACCCAGGGCGACGCTGAAACGGGTCGAAAAAAAGTGCCCCCAAGTTTCAGACAGGCAGCGGTCTATCAAACTGGCGCCACGGCTGGTCCGACCACAAGAAGGACTGGTGCTGCAGGCGCTGGATTCTTCGGGCTGAAGCCAAGTTTGGGCTGTGCATCCCACAATCGAAACCCGGGTAGATGAAGGCTAGTAAGGGACAATCCCAGCCAGAATTCGGTGCGGCCGCCTTTGTAGTTCTTTACATTGGTTTGGGAAGACCATTGAGTTCGAGGTCTTGATTGTGACTTATGTGGCCTTTTCAAACTCAGAATCCCCAGCTAGCCACCTGGCCCAGCCCCAACCCCGCGTGCTTATAAGCCAAAGTCTCAAAAAAGGGGGCAGGGTTGGGGCGGTGAAGCAGGGGGGGGGGGGGGGGGACGGGATGATCAAAGGGGGCTTCCTCTTGGCAAGCGCATTGCATCGCCTCAGTTCCTGAGTTCCTGGACTTGTTCCTTTTTGGGGAGACAACTTTAGTCTTTGTGGCTCCCAGCAATCCGGTTCAATAGCCTTTTAGCTTTTTGGTGTTTAGTGGTAGTTTCCATTTCACCCACGAAAAGTTAAACTTTAGCGGGGGATCTGAGGGCAGCCCAGTAGTGGCAAAATAAAAGAAACCAACATCAATTCAACCATTCGGAGAGCCCTTTCTGAAACGTATCTAGCCGCACTGTCGATCAAAATGGAAAGCCCATCCATTTGTGCGCCGGCATAGCTGTCGTTCCAGTATCAAGTACAATAAGTACGCCCATTGCTTTTTGTTGGCACTTTCAGTATTTCGACGATGCCTGGTTTCTTGTTCTCCCGTCTGACTGTTTATTTGCTTGTTTGTTTGACTGCCTGCCTATTTGTTGGTTGGTTGGTTGGTTTGCTTGCTTGCTTGCTTGCTTGCCTGCTTGCTTGGCAACACTCGATTCGGCCCTGAGCTGTTCCGCCTGCCGCTGAAGGAGCAGGACATGACATGCGTTGGTGCCGTGGTGACAGGATGCGCCAGCAACGCTCTGCGGAATTTGGTTGCTTCCATTTGCTGAAGAAAAACTGACATCCCTCGTTGGTTTTGAAAGGAGATGATCACTACCATATTTGTTTTTGTCCAGGGGTCCAAAGCAAATGGAAGGTTGCTGGATGGCAAAGGCCAGCTGCCAGCCTCAGAAGGAGAAGGCCGGCCTAGGCCGCTTGGATGCCGACCGCATCTCGGTACCTGGCCTGTGACGTCCCACTGGATGTCTTGATTCCTTACGGACACAGACCAGGGTTTTCGGACCCTTCGAGCTTTGTTTGTTTGTTTGTTTGTTTGTTGGTTGGTTGGTTGGTTGGTTGGTTGGCAGGTTGCTATGTGTTGCTCAGTCGTTTCTTTATTTAATTATGTGTTTTCTTTATTTCTTTCTTTCTGTCTTTCTTTCTTTCTTTCTGTCTTTCTTTCTTTCTTTCTTTCTGTCTTTCTTTCTTTTTTTCTTTGTTTCTTTTTTTCTTTCTTTCTTTCGCTTGCTTGCTTGCTTGCGTGCTTTGCTTCTTTGCTCCTTAATTGTGTTTGTTCTTCCTTTTGTGTTTTCGTCTATTTGTGTTTTGGTTTTTCCGTCCTGGCGATTGGCCACGCCTGGGCCGGGCCGCTTCCAGGCACCACAGCCACGGCTGCAAGTTCGATTGCCGCCGCTCGGAGCAACCGGACGCCACGGTTTTGGTGGGTAAATGGGAAACTGCCCACCAAACCACCGGGAAGCTGATTGGGGGTGTCAAACTGCTGAGTGGGGAGGGGAGTTGGGGGAGGTGCGGGGGGGGGGGGTTGGTGGAGTGGGGTCATTTGTTTGGCAAACTTGTTTTGCTGGTTCGATAGGCAGGGAACGAGTTGGAATGGCCTCGAAAAACCATCCCCCGTGGGTTTCCTTTGACTCGGTCATTCCCTACTGAGCACCAGCAAGGGGTAAAACGGGTACCAATTTGTTTCCCGCAGTAGATGATTCTTTTGAGGTATGTTTTGAGAGAAGGCAAGGAGGACCAACTCCTTTGTCCCAAGATTGTTGGACATTTTGGCCTGTGGGTTATTTTCCAACTTGGACACAATGTGGGGGTCCGATCCCTGTTCCTATGGTCAATGGGGAACATGCTCACATAGAGGACATAACAGAGTTTTGGGGAGTAGCCCCAACACATTCGACGGTTGAACCGGAATGTCGCCAAGACATAAACTGCACAAGAAGAGTGCCACGAGACAGCAGATCTTGTCATGCCAATGGAATGGTTCTTGTCCCTGTACCTTGTGCTGGGCACCTCTGTATTCTGAAACGTGGACAAGTGCAACACGCATGTTGTAGTTGCAGTACAGCAGTGATTCCGCGTTGGGTCAACCGGCCTTTCTGTTAGCCATGCGCTTCAAGAGGCAAACGTTTCTCTCCCTTCCCGAGTTCCTGCGATTTATGCTTTTTGGCTTCGGACCATCTTGGTGGCAAGCCGCAAGTTTGGTGCCCTTGTTTGGCCAATCCACCCAGGAAAATGAGCTTTATGGAAGTTGAGTCTACGTTTCTCCATGCTTGCACCAAGTCCGAGGTGAAGGCATTTCCCATTGGAAAGAGCAATGGCCGGAAGCTTGGGGGGGGTCCTTTCGGAGCCAAATGTTTGGGAGCCTTTCAGTGTCCAAGAGAATTGATCTGATACTTCAATACCCTTCTCCCCCCCCCCAACCACAAAATGGGCCCAAGGGAGGAGGGTGAATTCTGGATTGATTTCTACTAGGTCCACTTTGTTTGAACGTTCTGGCGGGGATTGGACAAATGGAGCTGGGTACACCCTGCACTCCCTTTCCCGAAGGCATGTCAGGATGTATGATGTCTCTACCTCGGTTTGCATGGATTGGTTTTTCTGGCTTCGGCCGTGACTCGAAGCAGCGGTGGACGGTGACTGAGGTCTGCCAGTCAGAAGAGGTGGTGCTGCGATCACATCGGTTTCGGATGCGAAAGGCCGGAGACAACTTGATCGAGACCTGAGCCCGATTTGTGTGTTCCGCGGTTGGTTTGCGATGTCAGGGTGGAAGAAAGGACCTACTGTGGATGGACGAAATCCGTTTCGCGCCACCGTTCAGAAACCCTGGCATGATTTGGTTCCCCTGTAAATACCAAGAAACAATGGTTTCAACCATGGTTTCCCAAGTGTGCGAACGGATGTCGTCCATCCACAGTATGATTGCCAATCTGATTGCCCTTTGTCACGGGGTTCCTTTGCCCGAAAACCAGCATGAAACCTGACACTGGTGGAAGAAAAGAATCCTCGAGGAGAGGAAGGGTAGTCCAAGGTGCTAAATCAGGTCCATTTACTTTGTCACAGCGGCAAATGAGTCTTGGCTGCTCAGTTTGGTCCGCAAGCCCGTTTTTTTCAGGTGATGCAGCAGGCTCGAAACGAGCAAGTGAGCTAATGAGTGTCACCTCTTGCGAGGTGATGTTAGTGCAAGTTGCAGCGGGAATTCTTGTCATGCAAAAGCTGCATGCAAGGCGAACTGCAGAGGGGGGAGCCCATGCAAGGCAAATCTTTGTGATGTGCTGACCATTTGCTCTCCAGATGTTTGCCAACTTCCCCTCCTCTCATTGTTGCGTTCCAGCAACTTGTTCATGACCTTTGCCTGCAGACTGGAGCAAAGTCTCCCAAAGTGACTCTGCAGGCTGTAACATCCCGAAGACGCGCTCAAACGCACATAGAGCCCGAGAAAACAGCTGGTTGGCTTTTGACGATGAGGGCAAATGAGCGGGGGATGCCCATTTTATCAAAAACCAGCGAGCACATGAACAAATTCAAAGTTTCCAAACGCATGCCAATCAACCTTTGCCAGGAGCCACGCAGCTCATGGCCAACATCAAGCCGTTTCAGTGTTGGTTGCTATTTTGTGTGGTACCTTCTAACCTTTATGTTCCTGTCATGTTCGGTTCCATGTTTAGTTAGTCATGAGCTCAGCAGCTCAACATGTTGTTTCCGGGTCCTTGGACAAGTGAGACACAAAAGGCCTGCTAAGTTACAGTCTGGTTCAGGGTACCTCAAAGCAGACCACAGTGCGTTTGCTTCCGCCGCACTACTTTGCCTGGCTCCAGACAGGAAGCGCATTGCGATTTGTCCGCATGGCCTTCATCTATGCTCATCATAACGCACCCCCCAAAGATTTCGAAAGCGCCATCGATCGTGTTGCAGCGGTCAGGATTCTGAAGCTGTTCCGTCTTGACCGGCGCCGCATCCAGATGCGGCTTAGCCAGGCCACAGAAACGGATGGCCAGTTGGTGCCTCAAACTAGGGACCCTCATGTCCCCTGGTCAGGTGTATCCAGAATGCCTTCAAGCCATAGACATGAATTCACCGGCTTATATGTATATACCTTGACTGCTGCGTATTGGGTTGGATCCTCAGACTTTAACTTTTTGGGAAATCAAGGCGTTTTCCACTAACCCCCCCCCCCCAAAAAAAAAGTCAAACTTTTTGCAGGGGGGTCAACAGCAACCAAAATACACACACACATATTCTCCGGAACCTTGGCCCTGGACCCAGGGAAGGTGGCGGCCGACAATTCCCTTGCCAGGTCCAATGCCCAAAGATGGCCAGGAGAACGATTTCGACGTTTGGCACTCGGGAAAAGATAGACGCGGGGTTCTGCTTGGCTTGATGTGTGCGTGTGTGTCTCCCGGCTTGTTTCTGTCTTGCAGTTGCTCCAGCTGTTGCTCCAGCCTTCTCCTGTATCGGCTGATTCAAGCCCCATCGCCAACACCAATGTGGTTTGTGTTCCACCAGGCAACTCCAAGTCCATGTCAACTTGGGAAGCGTTCCGATCCTGATTTTTGTGATATCGGTGTCAAGAAGCTACCTTTGATTGACCCCTGGGCCTACCTTTGATTGACCCCATCCAAATGGGGTCACGTGTGAGTCGTTTCGCACAAATCCCGCCGGGCCTCAGTGGAAACACTCACGTATCCAGCCTAGGCAGACCAGTCCCAAACCAAGTCTTGCAAAGAAATCTGGGTCGCACTGCTTCCCCCAGCTAGGTGCCCTTTTGCCCTTTTTTGGGGGAGGGTTCCCTACTAAAATAGACTACAGAAAAAACACGGTACCCTTATTCTATCCTCTCGACTCTCTACTGGAGGACCTAGACTGGGACAACAGATGGGGCCCATTGCAAACCGATCACGAAACCCAAGCAACCACCATGGCTCTGAGGTCGCTGCACTTCTCGGGGAGATCAGCGATGACAGCGAAGAAGAGGTGAAGCCAAAGCCCAAAGTGGCCGAAGCAGCAGAAGAGGCAGAAGAAGAGGAAGATGAGGCGGGGGCAGAGGAAGATGCATAGGTATCCTTTCAGGTCAGCTCGGTTGGACATAGATGGGCGTGTCTTTTTGTTGATGCTGCTCTTTTGGGGTGTGGGTTGAAGGGAAACAAAAGGAACGCCACCATTTTGGGGGGGTCTAAACAAGACACACCCGGATGGATCTGAGACTCCGAGAGGTGTCAGCTAGGTTCTGATCAACCAGTACCATCTATTTCCGAATGGACACTTAGGCACGTCAAAATGTTGCACCAGCTTCCACGTTTGCCTGCTAAGATCCTGCTAAGTGAGCAATTGACAAATCACGGAGGAAGAGGAAGAAGAGGAGGAGGAAGAGGAGGAGGAAGAGGATGAGGAGATTGGAGATGCAGGCGGTGCCTGCCTTAACATTAAAGCTGCTTCACTCGGCAAGCTGTGGTGAGGCTTTCCGCGCAGATCGTCTGTCAAGTCTGAGGCAGGGCCCTGATTTGCCTCACCTGGGTATTGGCTTGCTCGTCTTGGTCCCTCAACGGGCCATAGACAAATCGATTTGGATAGTTGGACCGAAATTCTAAAGCACACATGGAACCAGGGTCCACGGAACCCGCCGAAAATCGTATGTGGCTGGAATGAGCGTAAGCTTCGCACATATGGAATAGGAAGCTCAAAGAGGAGATCCATATGAAAACACTTCCTTTTGGGGCGGCTGTAAAATGTGGGCCAACTTGAGACCGATGTTGTTTCGGGGGGGGGCTCATAGTTTCGAGAAGTCTGGTGAGGAAGGTAGCATACCGGGACAAAACCAACAGTTGGGATTGGCGGTTGATCAACAGGTATTCGAGTCGGATAACTCGTCCATCCTAAGTGGTGCCTGGCGACTTGCTTGGTTCATCCATAGTTTTGAGCCGCAGCCGGTTTAAATGGGTGTGCCTTTTTTTGGGTGCCGCCCCCTCAAAAATAGTGGTTTTCCTGCTGGTCTTCCTTTCAACACCACCAAAAAAAGGCCCTCAAAAATAGCTGTCTTTGTGCTGCTCTTCCTTTCAAAGCCACAAAAAAGGGGGGCAAGCCTCAAACATAGCTTTCTTTGTGCTGGTCTTCCTTTCAAAGCCACAAAAAAGGGGGGCAACCCTCAAAAATAGTGTTCTTTGTGGTCTTCCTTTCAAAACCACAAAAAAGGGGGGCAACCCTCAAAAATGTCATTCTTTGTGCTGGTCTTCTCAAAAATCGCTTTCTTTGTGCTGGTCTTCCTTTGAAAACCACAAAAAGGGGGTGCCACCCTCACAAAATCGTGGTTTTCCCACTGGTCTTCCTTTAAAAACCACAAAAGGGGAGGGGGGGCAACCCCTTAAGCCCCCCCTTAAGCCAAACCCCTGCCTCTTAAGCCGCTTTCGGCTTTCCTTCCTTAAGCCCCTGAAGCTCCCCCAACGCCCCCTGCGAGGCTGCCAGGAGGTCCTCCGGGCGGATGGAGGCTCCGAGGAGACCATTGGGCTACGGGGTGCCGGTTTGGGCGGCGGGGGGGGGGGTCAAAGGGAAGAAGAAGGAAATTGAAGAGGGAAGCCAAAGAGGCCAACAAAAACGGTGGATTCTTTGGATAGTTGAAAGTTTCAGTTGTTATTTTTGTTTTAACATTTTCTTACTTCTAAAGAGGGACAGGCCGCTTTGCGAACTCGTAATTGGTGCTGCAGGTGCTGGTGAGGCTGCTCAAAAACAGTGCTGGTCAAGGTCTGTTTGGTTTGCTAAAGGTGCGGTGGCAGTTGCTGGCGGTACTTGTCGAGCGACACAGTCACGGTGGTCGGGGTGCTGTTGTACTCTCCCATGCTATATGGGCGCTATGCGACTGCAATTCTGTCTAGTCTGGGCCTGCTCGTTTGACTGGTTTCAGCCCATTTGACTGCCATGTGTATTTCAGCCTGTTTTGAGCTACTATGAAGGTACTTCAGCAAGGGAAACGCTTCGTGGGAGGTCAGCCGTGGGTTTATGAACATCAACTTCCGTTTAAGCATGTGCAACCTTCCAAGCCACGAAGCATGTTGACCTTTCACCAAAATTAGTGCACAACAAATAAAGGGCGAATGATGAAAAAGTCCGCGTGAAAACAAAAGCAAACCTCATTATCCATCTTGGGGTCCCCCGATTTCCGGACGGCCGCGTTTCTCATCCCTCGCAAGCGGAGGATGCCAACCACACAAAGCGATGGTTCCGCAGTAAATCCGGCTGTAGTGTGTACCAGATACCAGAGATGCCCAACGCGCCTTGAAGTTGTTCACCCCTTGTTTCTTTGGGCACAAGCTGCTATGGTACATGTTTGCCAAGTGTTCCAATTACTTGAAATCAGAAAAACTGTCACCAGGACCCCCACCGGCTCTTGAAAGTAACCAATTGATTGCTGGAGGTGCCTGTTGCCAAGGACCTCCATCCACAACAGTCACCTCGACGAAGTGGACCGGCTGCTATCAGGAGAGCAACGGGGGCCCCTGTGGCTATACATTTTAATGGTGGAACCAGGGCATAATGATGTCCTGCAAAGGGCCCCCTACTAAATTTCACACCCCTTTTGTATCCTTTTATGGTAGGAGACGGGCAACCCCCCAATTTTCGGAATCCCGGCAAGAGTGTATTCCGCGGGCCCATCTCGGTGGATTCCCCAACATAAGCCCTCAGTTAGGCGTAATGTAAACGCTGCGCGTTGCCCGCCTCGGCCAAGCCAAGCGCGCAGCCTCTGTGGTCGGCAAGCAGCAGAGCTGGTCAAGTGGCGATTCAGGCATGGACAGGTTCTGGCGTCGTTGGACCAATTGATGTCAAGGCCCGCCGTACAGCCAGCAGACATGGGTGAGGGGGGTGGCAGCTCATAGACCCGAAATATTGCAAGTAAGGAGTATGGTTGCGTTGCTTACATTTTTTACTTAGGGCATTCTCCATACCAGCGTTCCGATTTCCGGCTGTGTGATTGCGACCTGTGGGATCACTCCATGCTCCAAAGCCTCACGGACGGGGTTTGCCACACAGACATTGACGTTGTGACCCTTTGACACTTGGAACAAGTGCTCGAATTATGCTGGGAGCACGCTCAGTATTTTTTCAGTCTTGTCTCCCGGATCTTCACATCTATGTCAAAAGGGGTGAGGCCCAGGCTTGGTGATCATTCTGGCAACGCAGTGGCCTCCAATTCGCTCGAGCGTCGCAGGACTTCTGGAGGCTGGATTCCATGGAAACAAGGGTCTACCAAGTAGCCTGCTCTTGGGCTTCAAGGACTATGGCTGTGTCTTCTTTTTGGGAACCCCTCCAAAATCGCGGTTTTCCTTGTGGTGTCCCTTCAAAAACCACACCTGAAAGGGTACCCTCAAAAAAGACATACTCCTATCACGCATGCCGGAGGGTGTATACCGCCCATGTCGGAGGCCCCAGTCGGCACTCGGCCGAGATATTGGGGCCAAGTCGGCGGGGTACCGGTTGAACCGGAGCCCCGAATTTCTGAAACAAAACGTTGGCAAATCAGATGGACTGGTTCGCCTTGTGTCTTTTGGTCCTGGAATTGGTTTGCCGTTTGTTCAAGCATGAAAGCCATCTTGATAGAGCCAAGTTTCAAAAAGTTTCGAGCGCGGGAGAACGTAGTGAATCCAGCCCGCCATTGGCGGAGCCCTAAAAATGGTCCACAAGAATCAAGAACCAGCAAGATGGAAGGCCTGAGTTCGGATAGAAGAAGCAAACTTGTTTGACCGCCTTTCTTTAATCGTCCTTCTTTCTTTCTTTCTTTGCTTCTTCCTTTCTTGCTTTCTTTCTTTCTGCCTTTAGTTGTTTTACTTCTTGCGGCCTGTCCTCATGTTCTCTCTTCCTGTTTGGAGTTCGGGACAAACAGCCCGCCTTGGGCCCCTCTGCCAGGAAGCCCAGTCGCCCAGCGGCAGCGACTCGGAGGTCTCGGTGTATCTCTTGTCTTGGGGTTGCTTTGAAGACAGAGCCATGTGGCTGTGGCTCAAAATTAAGCTGGGGCAAGCCGCAGGTTTTAGTCTACCTGTCCATTTACCAGGGCAACCCATTTTGGACCCCTATTTTTGAGTTTTGTGGGCTTGTCCCCAAAGAGGAAAACATGCGACAAAGAAAACACTCATTGTTCAGTTTCGAGGAGAACCCTCTTTTTTGCGCAAACATGGCACAAGGCGCCTTGTATCCCCTTGTGACCCTTGCAAGCTCTTCCATTACAAAAAAGGGCCATGAAGAATTGAACAATGGTGGACAGAAATCCCAACGATGATGTCCACCGGCCGAATCAAGAGTCATTCCCACCTTCCCTGATCAGGTTTACTTATATTGGCCCCGCCGTAAGCCGTTGCTTTGAGCCGTTGGCACTGGGTTGCCAGTTCGGAGCCGGCGAGATGCGCGCGCACGACCAGAAGTTGGCGCAAAAGGCAGGGATCGCCGTGTTTCGGCTTGGTAATTGCTTTAGACGTACTTACACATGCTTACACCACACAAGTACTCTCCAACATTGCCGTTTCTTAGCCTTCCTTGAACTGTCACACGAGTGCCGAAGTTGCGCACGTCGACAGCCTTGGACAACTTGTTTTCCCGACCTTTAATCGGAAAAAAAAATATCTGATTACCCTGCTGCTCAGACAGAATTGCGTGGGGCAGAAAGTCAAAATCGGTTGGAGACTGGTGGGTGGCAGGGTATGGCGATAAGCATCCCTGCAATTTGGTTGAATGGCTGGCGCAGCAACTTGGTTGAATGGTTGGCGTAGAGTTGGAGGGCTTCCTGAAGGGTTTGAGATGCCTTGCATGGCAACAGTCATCAGCGCAGAAGATGCCTGGATGACTGTCGCTGTCATGTCGCTGTCATGCATGAGGGTCAGAGGCAACAGGCGATGGCGAGCCCGAAGATGGCTTGTCCGGTACGCACGCCGGTCAAAGGCAACAGGCGGTGATTGTTGTGTTTTTGTGTTGGTTGTGCATTCATCTATGCAAAGTGATGGGAGCGTGCCTTTCTGGAGGTAGTTTCACTTTCTGGGGCGACTTCAAATGCTTCGGCAGGGATCGCCTATTTTGGAGGTTCCTGAAGTTTGCAGCTACCCAAATGCTCAACGGAAGGAGCACCACAATGTTGGGCACAAATCCAATATGTTTCTGATGCCCCACAAGATCCCCGACTTTTTTTGCTGGTGTTAAACAGCACCTTCTTTTGGTGTTTTCTTTCGGTGAAACGAAACCTTGTTCAACTTGCTGGTGCCCAGAAGGGAATGACGGGTTTGGGAATGAACCGTTTAGCATTCCCTTAGAGAAAACCGTAGGGTATAGGGTTCCTTCCCCCCTTCCCTGCCTAACCAAAGGGGACATCTTGTTTGGGGGTTCCCGAGGCTGGCCTCAGTTGCTTCGCGATGCTCGCGGATTCACTTGGGCCCTCCAAAACAACGGGGGGGGGCCCTGTTCAGCGGCGGATTCGTTTTTGTGTTTTCGCAGGTGCCCTCGAATGAGGGCAGGTTTATTTTGTTTATTTTTTTTAAATAGGGGACCGGGCCAACAGTATAGCACCAAAAGGCGGGTGGGGTACGCAGCTTGCAAATGATTCTTGGATTTGGAGCTTGCGAAACGTATCAGTGAGAGCTTCGGAGTGGCTGCACGAAGAGAGAGGGATCGTGGCGCAGGATGCGGCCTTGCGTGTGGCGCCCGCGCATGCGGCCACCCAAAAGCCCCGCGCCGGCCAGAGCCCTGTGGAGCTTGCAGAATGATCACATCTAGTGGCCTTGACTAGGTCCCCCAGCTAGGTGCCCTTCTCGCCCCTTTTTTGGTTGGGAGGGTTCCCCTACAAAAATAGACTGCCGAAAAGAAAAAGGGTACCCTTATTCTAGCCTCTCTACTGGAGGACCTAGTGGATTTGACTTGCCCACAAGAAAAATGCACATGATTGCAGGTAGCCATGTCGTTTCCAGCAAGGTCAAGAGCAAGAGACAGTGCTCGACTTGGACAAGGTGGGGATGTAGGCCTTCCCCTCCCAAGCAAACATGCTGACAAAAACAACAGACAAGAAAGAACAAACAGTCAGTCACCATGCATGTGCTTTGGCCGTGTATGCCGCTTGCGGATAGTGTGTTGTTTGCGCCCGGCCCGGCAGTGAGTAGAGTTGCGCTAATCCCACTCAAGGCCTACATAACAAGGATTTCACTTGCGCGATAAAGCTTGACCAGTTGTAGCTTGCGTTTGAACCCACTGTGGCCGCAGTGACCCCTTTGCAACCACGTGCTGGAGCGAGCATAGCGACTGTTGCTCGGCTTTGGAGGCAGGCGGTCGCAGACCCAGCGTGGCTTCTTCAGGCAGGGTGTGCCTGCCGTGCCCGGATGGTTCCTTTGAGCTTTTCTTGTTGACCAGGCAGCGTGAGGGAGGCGCCCAGTTCCCACGAGGCAGGGAGAAGACGTTGCATGTGGTGCATGTTCGAAAGCTGATTGACGAATCGGGACAGGATGCCCCCGCTGCGGCCTCACATGCATCGCCCTCGCATAGGCTGACATGCCAGGCCCTCGGCAAAAGTCTTACGAATCGTGCGGCCAAAGTTGCTTTTTCTGGACGATATGTTTGTAGGCCGACAACAGCTTATTGAAGTAGGTCATGTCCGCTTTGGCGAGGCCGTAAGCATGCGACTATGCTGGACCTGGACGAGGCAGGATTGCTTTAAGCTTCTCCTTCCTTCCAAAATCAAGCACGAATCATAACACGCATACACACGTCCACATATTCAAGCGCGCACGTACCCACCCACCCGCTCGCATAGCTTGCAAGCAATCATCGGGCTGGTGTTCTGGTCATTCATGCCACATGCCTTTTTTTTGTTCCCCGCAGAGTAGCATTTCATTGACCCAATAAAGACCTGAATTGTGAAGTGTCAAACCGCAAGATGAACCTTGGCAACTAGTCGTGGTTAATGTTGGAACCTGCGCCCGCAGCGAACTCTGCAATGGCATTCTCATGTCAGACTGCTTCCGCGATCAAGCTAGTGTTTGCACAATTTGAGTCTGTCGCATTCTGCCGCTGTTGTTCGGCTTTGCAGGTAGCAGGTGGTCATCGCACTCCCAGCGTGGCTTCTGCTTCAGGCTGCGCCAGACTGCCTTGTCTGCATGGTTCCTTTGGCTGCGCTGTTCCTTGTCTTGTCACCAGGCAGTGTGCGGGAAGCGGCGCACAGTTTGCACGAGGCAGGGTGCACAAGCATTGCGAAGGCCGATTGATGAACTGGCAGTAGTTCTCACATCAAACGAGGTGCTAGAGTGTAAGTGCGAGTTCAATTGATAGTCGTATGGGGGGAGAGGACGGTGGGCACGCCATACTTGCTGGTGTTGATGGGTTCCGTGGTCGCTACTGCAGGATGCAGCCCACGCTGCGGCCTCACATGCAGCGCCCGCGCATAGGCTGACATGCCAGGACCCCAGCAACAGTCTTGTCAATCTTGCGGCCCAAGCGGTGTTCTGGAGGATCTGTTTGTAGGCCGACAACCAGCCTACTAAAGTAGGTCATGTCCGCTTTGGCGAGGCCGCAAGCATGCGACTATGCTGGACCTGGACGAGGCGGGATTGCTTTCAGCTTCCCCATCCTTCCCAAATCAAGCACGAATAATTTCACGCATAGACACACCCACGTACGCAAGCTCGCATGCACCCACCCGCACGACCGCCCGCCCGCCACCCATCCGCCCACTCGCCAGCTCGCATTAATGCATGCCACTTTGACCTTTTTGTTGCTCCCCGCAGTGAGTACCATTACAATGGCCCAGTGAAGGCCCAAAATGATGAAGTGTCAAACCGCAAGATGAACCTTGGCAACTAGTCGTGGTTAATGTTGGAACCTGCGCCCGCAGTGAACTCTGCAATGGCATTCTCATGTCAGACTGCTTCCGCGATCAAGCTAGTGTTTGCACAATTTGAGTCTGTCGCATTCTGCCGCTGTTGTTCGGCTTTGCAGGTAGCAGGTGGTCATCGCACTCCCAGCGTGGCTTCTGCTTCAGGCTGCGCCAGACTGCCTTGTCTGCATGGTTCCTTTGGCTGCGCTGTTCCTTGTCTTGTCACCAGGCAGTGTGCGGGAAGCGGCGCACAGTTTGCACGAGGCAGGGTGAAGAAAGTCGCTGCATTCGTTGCATGTGCGAAGGCTGATTCATTGATGAGCAGTCACATCATCACGGTGTAATCTCCCCGGTTTGGCGCTGTTTGGCGCTTGGGACAAGGTGAGTTGACGGGTGTGGGAGCGGGCACGGCGTTCTTGCTGGTGCTCCATGAGTTGGCAAGTCTGTAGTTGGTGCAGGAACAGGGAGCCTTGGTACAGGATGCAGCCTCTGCGGCCTCGCATGTGACCTCGCACAAGCCCACATGCCGTGCCCTGAGCAAGAGTCTGGATCTTGCAACTCTTGCGCTGAGGGCTCATTTTTTTCCCGCTGCAACGTTTGATAGGCTGACCCCACCTTGTGCCATCGATTCGAGCCGACTGCAAATGAGCCACAATCAAAGCCCGGATAGATGAAGGTTAGTCAGGGACAATCCCCTTGCCACAAAAAGCTGCGGATATCCGCCTTCTTATTAATTCTTGAAGCATGGTTCCGGGAACGACCATTTTGATACCGTGTTTTGATTGTGACTCAAATGGGAAAAGTGTCCTCTTTAGGCCAAGAATATTGATCAACCTGGCAAGACGTGTGTGAGGCTTTGGTGGGCTTGGAGGTTTGGTCGAGAAATGCCGAGCATGTTAACAATTGCCCAGTTGCCCAGTGGCGCCCTTTTTTCCTTTTTTTGGGAAGGGTTTTCCTTTAAACTCAGCCAACCAAAAAAGGATGCCCTTTTTTTCCCGTGGAAATTCACTGGGCATCTGAGTTTGAGCCAGAATCAAATGACTCGAATGGCGGGAGCTGCGAATGGCGAATGGTTTGCAGAGCAAGGCCACCAGCACGAGACTCTGCCGGACCTGCAGGCGGGAGTCTTCCAACCCACCCGTGCAGGTCACACAGCACACGCCATGGTCGTGCAAGGGTGGAGTGGCATGGAATTGAATGGAACTTCCCATGAATGAAAGCCCAGTACTTCCAAGACGCTAGTAAACTATGCCTCTACAAAAAGACGGTGTTTTACCCAAAAGACGGTGTTTACCCGTGAATGGCCCGTGAATGGGGTATTTGTTGACTAGGCCCACCTGTGAAGTCAGCTGGGCTCGGAATTGAAAGCGCTATCAAAGGCCCGGTGATGCAACATGCGTGCCTGCATGCCAAACAATGTACATTGTCGCATGCATTATGGACCCCATGGATCGAGATTACCTTGGCCACATGCAAGTATTTCTCTGCTGCACTGCGTGATTCGCGCGATGGCATCAGCATGCAAGAAGTCACACTCGTAGCATCACTGCGCAACAACGTGTCTTGGGTCGTGTGTATGGGCAGGGCTACCGTCTAGGAGGTGGTAACTCGATGCTTGTAGGCTAGCTATGTTGTATGGGAATTGCAGACAATGTCATGTTTTTTTATGTGTATGCTTTGCCAATATCGTTGACAAATCGCGGACCGTGAGCCAACCGTGAATTTTGCGTGAACGACGGAGTTTGAGTTTACCCGTGAAAAAAGCGTGAACTTGCCCCCCCCCTCTAGATCCAAATGCCACAGCCTGCTGATTCGGTCCGCAACAATTGCATGGCTACAAAGTCGTTTGCCCAGCTATGTGGCGCGGACTAGATCCTTGGGCCTGCAAAAATTGGCCGCAATGTTTCCACAGAGGTGTGTAATGTGCATGGCAAGCGCGGACATCAAATGTCTGTCTAGTTCTCAGCACGGTGCTAGCACAAGCCCTGAAGTGCAGATTGTGGTGTGTCCAGCCAGCCAATGGATGATCCTGGTGTGGTGCCTGATAAACGCCCGGCTCCAACACTAGACTACACTAAAATTGCGCGCACGATATCATTACCAATCTGGCGCAAAATGAGGTGGTGATGTCTCACTGTGCAGTGGAAGAACAAGAGGTGAAACCGTGAATTGAAATGTCCCAAGACCATGTTTACTCGCTAAAGACGAATGAAACGATGTTTACGCATGTCTTTGGACTCTTTGGATGGCCTGGGACAGTATGCATATAATATATATATATATATATACATAGATATGTATATTTGTGATATTATGTGTGTGTGTACATGTGTATACATATTATGCATATTTCCTCGGCGTGTCTCCAAATTGGAGAAATGGGTGGTTGAAGCTCTCGGGGCTCCACATTCGAATCCTGGAAGCAGGAGCCAGGAGGACGGCTCGGGTGGGAAGACTTTGTTTTTTCGAACGGTAGCTTCCATGTCCATTCTAAATCCAGAGATCCTTCTTTCTAGAAAACCACCGAAAAAAGGGGAAAACAGCTGGTTGTTGAAAAGAATGGGGAATCAACCCCTAGAGTTTTGGGGAAGCTCCCTGTCGGCTTCGCGATTGGAGGGCTTTACCCAGTTGCCGGGCGCCCGCAGCTCACTTCCATTTGCTGAAGAGAAGATTTGTTTGGCGTTTTCTCTCGTGGTTAACAAGGGAATGGATTTCACTACTGGAAGGTTTTCTCATTTCTGCCAGGGGGCTTAACTAAGCAAATGAAGGCTCATTTTCCCCCCTTTTTTCAAGAGAGGTTTCCTTCAAAAAGCACCTAGCACGGAAAGGGTGCCCTGTTTTTTGCCGCACGCTGCGGTAGTTTGCTGGATTCTGTCTGTGGCAGGTCGGGCACCGTCCCGGTTCTTCAGGCACTGCCTGCCTGCGCACCTGGGTTTGCTCAGCGATCAGTTGCGCGAGGATGCACTTTGCTTAGAAGTAGTTGCATAATACACATATGCAATGCATAATAATAATAATAATAATATTAATAATATATATATATATATACATTGTACACATATATATATATATATACATATGATACAAGGGTGTATACATGTGTAGTTTCAGGTTGGTGTTCATGTTTCACCAAAGAATCCATTCATTTCGTCTAGAAAAAACACCTGAGACTTTGGCTGAGCCTTTTCGTTTGGCTAGGCAGCGTGCGGGAGGCGCAAGGGTCGCAGCTGGGCAGAACTTGTACTCCTTCCAATATGGCTATGGGTCAAAATTAACCCACCAGGGGACCGCAGGTTTTAGTCCGTGTTTCCATTTACTAGGGTTCAATTTGGGGTACCCATTTTTGACCCAAACCCATATCAGTGCCCTGCAATCCCTGATTTTTGGGGAACAAATCCCTAAAAGGTCCACTTGTGGTGGTTTTGAACATCACCTATTGAAATGAATCTAAGTGAGTTTCCTCTCAGTTATTTTTCGTGGGGTGATTCCTGTATATCCTCCCAAAATGACACCTGACGAGGGTGCCTGTCAATTTGAACAGGAAGCACCCACAGGTTTCTTCTTCGACCAGCGTATGCGGCAGTGCAAGGTACACGAAAATAATTGGTGGACCGAAATGGCCATGGAAGTCCTGAGGTCCACCAAAGGCTTCCAAGTTCATTATTTTCTTGGTACCTGGTTCTCAGCAAGGGGATATTGCTTTATCAGGTACCAGTTCATTTTTTGCGGGGGGGACCTGGGCCCCAAGGGGAGATTGCTTTATCAGGTACCCTCCCAGAGGTGCTCAGGTGCTGGGAGGGGTAGCTGGATGCCACCGAGGCTTTCGAGACCGTTTCAAGTCGTTTTGCCAAGACAAAGTTGTCGACACCATCGCGCCCGTATGTGGGATGACGTGCATAGGGCCCTTGGAGGCTCATGGTTTCGAAGGGTGCAACGATGGTTTGACACTGGCAGAATCTTGAGACAAGAAAGGTGCAGTTTGGCTTTCGCGTTTAGAGATAGGCTTCTGTAAGTCAGGCGTTGCGTGATCTAGAGTGGCCGCAACCCCGCACGCTGAAAGTTGCCAGGACCATCGCTTTTGGAGCGGAGCTTTCTTTGGTTTCTGCAGGGTCTGAGTTTCGGGCCCCCGGCTGGCTTCTGTTGGTCGGGTATTCGCTTTCAGTTTCCACACATTATACCAAGTTGTTACCAGAAACGTCGAGGTCTCCAGGATTTCATTTGGGGCTCTTCAGCCCTCGGGGTACCCCTCTTGGGCTTCTGGGATGGTAGAGCGCTGCAGGATGGCCAAAGTCGCCTCCGCTCAGGCGCGGGCAGGTTCCGAGTGGAATGGTTTTGTTTCCCCTTGTTTGGGGCATTTTAGGAGAACCCGGCGGTTGAAGTCGGCGAAACATGGGACGAGGATGCTACTGTTTTTGTTGAGGCTATAGGGTTTGCAGGAAACCAAAAGGTAACCACCCAAACGGATTCGTGATCCTATTTGTAGACACCCTAAATGGTTCATTCCCTCCTCCTGTTTCAACCAACCGCTGCTTTTTGCGTTGTGAGAGTAAGTTCACACACACACACACAGAAGCTGGGCTGGCTGAAGTTTAGAAAGGGGACAGCTCCAGAAATGGGGCTGCAAGTGTCCGCAAATGGCTTTGGGCAGACCTTTTTAAAAGAAAGATACCCGGTTCAGATACTCCTGTGAACTAATCAACCACTTTAAACTGCAAGGTTTGGCATGCTGACTCTGATATTTTAACGCCTCCGGCTCAGGCCGCCGACATTACAGGCCTGCTTTCTTACTTGCGTCCCTTTGGAATTGTCCCCTTGCCCCCTTCCCCTCTGAGATTTTTGCCCCCCTTTCTTTGTTGAGATCCATTCCCCCCTTTCCCCCCTAAGGCCTTTTCCTCCCTGAGATCTTCTCCCTTTTCCTCCCTTTCCCCCACTTTCCCCCCTACGGCCTTTTCCTCCCTGGGATCTTTTCCCTTTCCTCCCTGAGATCTTTCCCCCCCCCTTTCCCTGTTGAGATCCTTTCCCCCCTTTCCCCCCTACGGCCTTTCCCCCCGCTGAGATCTTCTCCCTATTCCTCCTTAAGATCCTTTGCCCCCTTTCCCTGTTGAGATCCTTTCCCCCCTTCCCTTTAAGGCCTTTCCAGATCTTCTCCCTTTTCCTTCCTAAGATTGTTTCCCCCCTTTCCCTGTTGAGATCCTTCCCACCCTTTCCCCCCTCAGGCCTTTCCCCCCCCCTGAGAGCTTCTCCCTTTTCCTTCCTTAGATCTTTCCCCCCTTTCCCTGTTGGCCTTTCTTCCCCCAGATCTTCTCCCTTTCCTCCCTAAGATCTTTTCCACCCCTTTCCCTGTTGAGATCATTTCTCTCCCCTTTCCCCCCTAAGGCCTTTGCCCCCAGATCTTCTCCCTTTCCTCCCTAAGATCTTTCCCCCCCTTTCCCTGCTCAGATCCTTTCCCCCCTTTCCCCCCTAAGGCCTTTCCCCCCCTGAGATCTTCTCCCTTTTCCTCCCTAAGATCTTTTGCCACCTTTCCCTGTTGAGATTGATTCCCCCTTTCCCCCCTAAGGCCCTTTCTCCCTCTGTGTTTTTTCCTTTTCCTCCCTACGATGTTTTCCCCCCTCTCCCTGTGAGATCCCTTCCCTCCTTTCCCCCCTAAGGCCTTTGCCCCCAGATCGTCCCCCTTTCCCTTCCTAAGATCTTTTCCCCCCTTTCCTTGTTGAGATCCTTTCCCGCCCTTTCCCCCCTAAGGCCTTTCCCCCCCTGAGATCTTCTCCCTTGTCCTCCCCAAGGTTGAGATCCTTTCCCCCTTTCCCCCCAAGATCTTCTCCTTTTTCCTCCATAGGATCCTCTCCCACCTTTCCCTGTTGAGCTCCTTTCCCTCTTTTCCCCCTAAGGCCTTTTCAGATCTTCTCCCTTTTCCTCCCGAAGATCCTTTGCCCCCTTTCCCTGTTGAGATCCTTTCCCCCTTTCCCCCCTAAGGCCTTTTCCCTGCCTGGGATCTTCTCCCTATCCTCACTGAGATCTTTCCCCCCCTTTCCCTGTTGAGATCCTTTCCCTCCATTCCTTCCTAAGGCCTTTCCCCCCTATTCCTCCTTAAGATCCTTTGCCCCCTTTCCCCGTTGAGATCCTTTCCCTTCTTCCCTTTAAGGCCTTTCCACCCTTTCCCGCCTAAGGCCTTTCCCCCCCTGAGAGCTTCTCCCTTTTCCTTCCTTAGATCTTTCCCCCCTTTCCCTGTTGGCCTTTTTCCCCCACATCTTCTCCCTTTCCTCCCTAAGATCTTTTCCACCCCTTTCCCTGTTGAGATCACTTCTCCCCTTTCCCCTCTAAGGCCTTTGTCCCCAGATCTTGTCCCTTTCCTCCCTAAGATCTTTCCCCCCCCCCCCCCTTTCCCTGCTGAGATCCTTTTCCCCCTTTCCCCCCTAAGGCCTTTCCCCCCCCTGAGAGCTTCTCCCTTTTCCTTCCTAAGATCTTTTCCCCCCTTTCCCTGTTGGGCTTTCCCCCCTAAGTCCTTTTCTCCCAGATCGTCTCCCTTTCCTCCCTAAGATCTTCCCCCCCCTTTCCTCCTTAAGATCTTTCCCACCCTTTCCCTGTTGAGATCCTTTCCCCCCTTTCCCTCCCAAGGCCTTTCCCCCCCTGAGAGCTTCTCCCTTTCCTCCTAAGATCCTTTGCCCCCTTTCCCCGTTGAGATCCTTTCCCTTCTTCCCTTTAAGGCCTTTCCAGATCTTTTCCCTTTTCCTTCCTAAGATTGTTTCCCCCCTTTCCCTGTTGAGATCCTTCCCACCCTTTCCCGCCTAAGGCCTTTCCCCCCTGAGAGCTTCTCCCTTTTCCTTCCTTAGATCTTTCCCCCCTTTCCCTGTTGGCCTTTTTTCCCCCAGATCTTCTCCCTTTCCTCCCTAAGATCTTTTCCACCCCTTTCCCTGTTGAGAACATTTCTCCCCTTTCCCCCCTAAGGCCTTTGTCCCCAGATCTTCTGCCTTTCCTCCCTAAGATCTTTCCGCCCCCCCCCCCCTTTCCCTGCTGAGATCCTTTTCCCCCTTTCCCCCTTTCCCCCCTAAGGCCTTTCCCCCCCCTGAGAGCTTCTCGCTTTTCCTTCCTAAAGCTTTTCCCCCCTTTCCCTGTTGGGCTTTCCTTTCTAAGTCCTTTTCTCCCAGATCTTCTCCCTTTCCTCCCTAAGATCTTCCCCCCCCCTTTCCCCCCTAAGATCTTTCCCACCCTACCCTTTCTTGTTGAGATCCTTTCCCCCCTTTCCCTCCCAAGGCCTTTCCCCCCCGAGAGCTTCTCCCTTTTCCTGCCTAAGATCTTTTCCCCCCTTTCCCTGTTGGCCTTTTTCCCCCTTTCCTCCCTAAGATCTTTTCCACCCCTTTCCCTGTTGAGATCATTTCTCCCCTTTCCGGTGCCTTTTTGCCCCAGATCTTCTGCCTTTCCTCCCTAAGATCTTTCCCCCCCCCAGTTCCCTGTTGAGATCATTTATTTACACGCTGACACGACACAGCCGGCCACCGGGCACCCCTTCCCGTTCTTTCACTTCCTTTCCCTCTAAGTCCTGTTAGTTCTCGGGATGATTTGAACTTTACTTCCTTTGCAGGTCTTCCCTGACAGTTTCCTGGCATGTCCCTTCGCTTCCTTCCACTTCACTGCCGTTTCAGCTCCCTTCATTTGCTTGAAGACTCCTTTATTCGCATTCCTTTCCCTTTTCGTTCCCGCTGTCCGGTTCTTCACGTTCTGCCCGTGCATTTTCCTGCATCTCGGTTTCTCTCCAGTGCCCTCTTGATTTGCGTGCAATTCCTTTGACTTTCATTTCGTTCACTTCCAGTCACTCCTGTTTCCTTGCATTTCCCCTTCAGCCCCGTGTTTCGCATCGTCAGCATGCATAGCATCATCCGCATCATCTTGAATGATGCTGGCAATGCTGGGGGTGTAGTCCGGTATTAGGCACCCCCTAAAAATACTCGTTTTTGGACTTGTTTTTGGACGCTGCGGGGAGATGCTACAAAAATCCTCGGAAGTCGCCTAAGCCAATCCGCGAATCCTTCGCCCCTTATAAGGGTGGGCCCAGCGCAAAACGTATGCGCATGGTCGGAGCATGGTCGGAGCATGGTCGGCGCATGGTCGGCGCTGTTCTGCGCATGGTCGGCGGCATGGGGCGCACGGCCTTATACCTGAAGGTAAGCCCTGCGGGCGCGGCCCGATCACGTCCGGTGGCCGGATTATTCCCTGTTGAGATCATTTATTAACCAGGCTCCCGCCTGCTGCCGCCGACCCTCGGCGCATTAAGGGAAAAGTCACAAGGACCGGTCCGGAAACACTCTACGACCACAAACAAGGATTAACGGAAAAGTCAGAAATAGGGCAGCTAGTCCGTTAATTACCGCTTGGGCCGGCTTGCGCCCAAGTCACTTCGAGTTGGCGCCTCTCCCGGGCCCAGTCTGGCGCGGTTTGACTCGACATATTGGACTCTCTTGCAGAATAGATCCAGGGATCCTCTACTACCACAAGGATTAACGGAAAAGTCAGACAGATGACAGCTCGTCCGTCAAGAACCGCACGGGCCGGTTTGTGCCGAAGTCACGTTGAGCTGGTCCTAGAAACAAGGCTGTTGGTCCCCCTCAACTGGTCGCAATCAGTGACGACCTGGGACTCTGCAGTGTCCTGGGTGCCAGTCCGGAAAGTTTTTTGAGGTCGCACCGTACCAGCGGTCATACCAGGACTTGATCCCGGGACCGGCTTCCCAGACTGGTCCCAGGACTGGTCCCAGGACCGGTCCTGGGACCGGTCCAGGACCGGTCCTGTGGGACTGGTCCTGGAATGTCAGGACTGGCACCGGTCTTGGGACCGGTCCTGGAAATCCACTTTTTGTGTGTTCGGGCGTGTCCCCCAGGGACTATCATTGCTTCCAATCACTTCCTGAACTGATGTTTTTAAAGTTTTTTTTGCATTTTGCATTTTTCCAGTTTTTCGCGGGCATTTGTTGCTCGATTTATGTCGCTGAGGTTGACTTTAGAGAAGTTAATTGTTTGGGTTTCAAGTTGTTTTTCGGTGGGAAGGGGGGGGGGCAGGACGGGACAATAATAATGCGCCTGTGTGCCCATTGTTGCGAAAGGCTTGATTCCTGCAGCATCGTTTTTCGCTGGCTGCTCGCCTTCGGAGAGTCGGAACGGAATTATCTTTTTTCATCTCGTTTGTTGTTTGAGGGCTCGGTGGCTTGCCCCGCCCCACCCCCCCTCCTCCCAAGCCCATCAATGATTGACGTTGTTGCGTTTGCTTGCGCGGGTTCGGTGGCTTGCCCCGCCCGGCCCCCTTAAACAAATCCTTTCGCTGGTTTTGGCGGCATGCCCCATCCAGCAATAGGGTGCCCAGCTCCCCCTTCCTCCAAAGTGAAGCCCGCCAACGATTGAAGTTGTTGCATGTGCTTGTGCTTGCGGGTTTGGTGGCTTGCCCCGCCCGGCCCCTACGCCTTCTGCAAGCAAGAGGGAACACGTCTCACACCAAAAGAGTCTCACAGGAAAGCTGTGAGCTGACGAACGGACATGCGTGATGCGACGCAAGAGCCGCCCAAGTCGTATGTTTCTTGCGGATCATATTTTTCAAGCGGATAGATGTGTTTTTGCAGAGCAGATATGCTTGTTGCGGTGTGCGCTTGCGGGTTCGGTGGCTTGCCCCGCCCGGCGCCCACAATGACTTACGCTGTTTTCGGTGGCATGCCCCATCCAGCAGTAAGGATTCAGAAGGGGCGCTTCTGAAACCGCCCTTTTCCGGAAGCGTTCTCAGAAAGGCTTTCGTGTGTAAGGGCGGCTCGAAAAACAAGACTTTCGTGGGAAGTCTGCCTGCAAGCTGCGGGCGCGCGCATTGTTACTACCAGACTTTTAGTGGGGCCTGGCCCCACGCCAAATCTGGACTAGTGACCTTAAAGTTTTCCTGATTGTGCGGTTACACAGACTCAATGGCGACAGCTCAGAAGGCAGTTGTTTTCTATTGCTTCCAAGGTTTGGTCACTGCGGCCCGCTTGCAAAACCATCCGTGCTTGGCAAGTCAAGACGCGCTGTGTTCGCTTGGCGGCTCTTAGACAAGTTAGCAGGCGCGGCCGTGTTTTGGTGGCTTGCCCCATCACTGGCGTGAAAGCTGCAGCCATGTCGATTGCGCTCGTTGCTGGCGTCATCGTAGGTTTCTTCATGGGCGTGGTTGTGCCAATTGGCGGGAAGGGCCTCAAAGGCGGCAGCGCGGCGGGCAAGGGTCAGACTGACGAGCAAGGCAGCCGCAGCAGCGACGGCGTTGGCGGCTTACCTCAGCCTGGAAAATAGTCTTCACATGAATGTCGTGCGGCAGTACCTCTTCGGCCGCTTGTGGGCACACATGCAGAGCCCAAGCAGTCAGCATTACGCTGCAGAGCTGCGCGACGCTCTGCAGGCCAGTGCTTTGTTTTACGCACAGACGCAGTGTTTATTCTGCTGCTTTAATATTTCAAACCAGTCTGAAACCAAGTGGTCTCGCCGTGCCTGCCAACCACGACGCAGGCGGACAGCCAGCCGAGGAACAGGACGACGACCCCACGGACAGGGAGCCCAACTGAGCCGCAACGCTGGCTTTTGCGCGCTCTGCCGCGTAAGTTTGTGAGTTTGGTAACCAGGATGTGGCTCAGGCGGCGTGCCCCGGCCCGCGTTGGTGGCTTGCCCCAGCACATTGGATTTGTGTCGGCGGCGTGCCCCCGCTGCTGCTGCAGAGAGATGTCAAACGCAGATCGAACGGTGCTTAAAACATGCGGCCAGCCAAGGACATTGAATCAGGACGTCCGGCGTCATGAAGTGCTGAGGATCAAGGGTTGCCGAGAGACAGTCCGGTCACGTCCATCACATGACACGTACGCTCGCCCGATCAGCTTGGTCCGCGGAAAAAAACTTAAGTTTTTTTCCACAGACCCTTTTGTCCAGACAGTCTCCGGTTTCCATAAGTTGTCTCCACAAACCACAGCGCTGCGGACCGTCGAGTGGACTACAATTCTTGGATTTCGGGGAACGCAAAATTCCCGGTGTTCGAACGTTTCTAGTTCTTTGGACAGTCCACAGCGCTGCGGCTTGTTGAGTCGACCTTCGGATTCCAGAGGCCCTCTGGACAGGAACTTCGTGCGTAAACTTAAGTTTTTTTTCGCAAGCGCCCTCTGGACAGAGCTCTGGCCCAAGCTGCCCGGAATGTCCGCGCAGAGCGCATGGGCCCGCTTTGGCAGGCGGTGGACCGAGCAGTTCCCGTGGCTGGAGGCTGTGCAGTGGGACACAGGCGACTTCTCCGTCAGCTGTGCTGCCTGCAAAGCTTGTGTGTCAGCGGAGTTTCGAACCATTGCTTCATTGCAGGTCAGCCACTTCCGAGACCATGAGAAAACCAAACGGCGCCAGGCCGCAGCATCAAATGAAGACATCCGACTGCGTCTGATGGCCCCATCTCTCGAAGAGTTCATCGCAGTTCTGCGAGCTACACGCAAGGGAAAAGATGGCGGTGATGATGGGATTGCCTGGTCCGGCGGCAAGATCCTTCGCCGCCGAGCCCAGAAGCTCAAGTTTTGCTTGGCCGAGTCGCTGCGGGCTCGCACGCGACAAACGCTCAACGCTGCCTCCTGCGTCACTGTGCACTCGGACTGCTCAAAGACGATCCTTGTCTTGCGAGGGCAAACGTGCGCAGAGGATTTGCGTCCTCAGCACATGCTTCTGGGCGCACGGAAGCTGCATGACTTCTCTGCGGTCGGAGTTGCCACGGCTGTTGTGCATTTGCTTCATGATTTGGCCACCCCTTTTGCTGGTGCAGAAGAAATCAAGGACTGCCTGAAGCCAACTGTGCCAGCTCAGGTGGCTTGTCCCCAGCTGGACGCAGTTGCGTTTCAGCAGTGGCTTGGGCGCGTTGAGGTGTTCAACGCCGACGCAGCAGCCGACGAGCAGCTGGCGGGACAGCTCTTGTCGTCGGAGCACGAAGCTTTTGCTCAGCTATACTGCGATTTTTGGCAGACATGGACACGGGCACGCTGCAAGTCTTTCCGAACCTGAAGTTTGTAAACCAAGACAAGCCCCACGCAGCCCGCAGGACCCTTTTTTTGTTTGTGGCCACGGCCTAGCTCCACCAAGGTTTGAAAAAGACTGGCCAGTTGCTGCGTGTCCAGAGCTTCCCTTCCAACGGGTGGAGCTTTTTTCTTTTTTGATAGGCAGGCGTCTAAATGCGTTTGACCACAGAACTTTACAGTCTGACAGTGGCTTCTTAAGGGCCGACATTGCTCAAGATCCACTTCCTCACGGCGAGCTGTGTGGCACTTGTTCTTCACGTCCTTCTTGGCTCTGCACTTCTTGTAGGAGCAAAGCTGCTTCACTGCGCTGCCTTTTTTGCGAGCAGGCCCCCGTGCCATTGGTAGACTTTCTCACGCTATTTCCCTTCTACGGGCAGTTCAACATGTCAGAGCCGAAATTTCAAAAAACCAAACAAGACTTGCAGGCAGACTTCCCACGAAAGTCTTGTTTTTCGAGCCGCCCTTACACACGAAAGCCTTTCTGAGAACGCTTCCGGAAAAGGGCGGTTTCAGAAGCGCCCCTTCTGAATCCTTACTGCTGGATGGGGCATGCCACCGAAACCAGCGTAAGTCATTGTGGGCGCCGGGCGGGGCAAGCCACCGAACCCGCAAGCGCACACCGCAACAAGCATATCTGCTCTGCAAAAACACATCTATCCGCTTGAAAAATATGATCCGCAAGAAACATACGACTTGGGCGGCTCTTGCGTCGCATCACGCATGTCCGTTCGTCAGCTCACAGCTTTCCTGTGAGACTCTTTTGCCCTGAGACGCCTTCCCTCTTGCTTGCAGAAGGCGTAGGGGCCGGGCGGGGCAAGCCACCGAACCCGCAAGCACAAGCACATGCAACAACTTCAATCGTTGGCGGGCTTCACTTTGGAGGAAGGGGGAGCTGGGCACCCTATTGCTGGATGGGGCATGCCGCCAAAACCAGCGAAAGGATTTGTTTAAGGGGGCCGGGCGGGGCAAGCCACCGAACCCGCGCAAGCAAACGCAACAACGTCAATCATTGATGGGCTTGGGAGGAGGGGGGGTGGGGCGGGGCAAGCCACCGAGCCCTCAAACAACAAACGAGATGAAAAAAGATAATTCCGTTCCGACTCTCCGAAGGCGAGCAGCCAGCGAAAAACGATGCTGCAGGAATCAAGCCTTTCGCAACAACGGGCACACAGGTGCATTATTATTGTCCCGTCCTGCCCCCCCCTTCCCACCGAAAAACAACTTGAAACCCAAACAATTAACTTCTCTAAAGTCAACCTCAGCGACATAAATCGAGCAACAAATGCCCGCGAAAAACTGGAAAAATGCAAAATGCAAAAAACAACTTTAAAAACATGAACAATTGCCAGTTCAGCTTCCAGTTGCATCCCACGCCGGTCCCCTCTGCAGGAGGCTGGGACGGGAGGCAGAGGGTCGGCGGATTTCCACCCTTTTGCTTCTAAGGCCTTTTCCCACCCTCAGTTCTTCTCCCTTTTCCTCCCAAAGATCTTTCCCCCCCCCTTTCCTCCCTAAGTCCTTTTCCCTGAGTTCGTCTCCCTTTGCCTCCCTAAGATCTTTCCCGCTTAAGATCCTTTCCCCCGTTTCCCCCCTAAGGCCTTCTCTTCCCAAAGTCTTTTTCCCCCTTTCCCGTTTGAGATCCTGTCCCCGGCCTGTTCCCCCCAAGAAAGATTTCCCTTTTCCTCCCAAAGACCTTTTCCTTCCTTTCCCCCTTAAGGCATTTTTTCCCCGGATCTTCTCCCTTTCCTCCCTGAGATCTTTCCCCCCCTTTCGCTGTCCCTTTCCCCCCTTCATTTCCTTCACCAGCATGGGCAACATCCCCAGCATCACTTGCATCATCCGCATCCTTGGCAGGCGCTGATGCGGATGATGCAGGTGATGCTGGCGATGTGCCGCTGGAGCTGCTGAGGATGCGAAAGCGCACCCGGGGGGAATCGAACACCCCAATGTTTTTGACAAACTGAGTTGCGGAAGCCCGCGCAATGAACAGATTTAGTGAAGCGACTTCGAATTACCGCGTGGTACGTGGACCCCCCCCCTCGCAATAGTCTGAAATGGTGCCTCTGGGGAGGGGTTAGGGGAGGGGTAACAGGTAAAGAGGTAAGGAGCATTTTTTGTGTCCAACACGCCGTCTGTTGTCGGCGGATTTGCCTCGACCTGTGAGCCTTCCCAGCTTGGCAGGCTGCAACCTGGCTTTGGACGAGGCGGGGCTTGTCACACATTGGGCTTGTTTCTTACGCCCCACATGGTTCCTATTGTCCAGCCAGGTTTCCCTAGAAATATTCCAGACATGGCATGCCAGACATATTCCCGGTGTCCCTGGCATGTCAGAATATTCCACAAATATTCCAGTGTACAATGGTTCCTTATGTCCACCAATATTCGTGCAAGCCCAGTCCCTTACACTGGGGTTCCCTGAGCCAGGGTTCGACTTGCTTCGCTTGAATATCCAGCGGTCCACTTGGAGACATGCCCGCATCAGGCTTCACCTGAAACCCAAGGCTGAGTTCGAGTAGCTGCTTATCATGGGGGCTGGGGGGAGGGAGGGGAGGGGAGGGAGCCCAAATAAGCCCTCAATAAGGCCTTAATAAGGGTTTTGTTGGGCTCCCTCCCCCTCCCCATTCCTGCCCCCCAGCCCCCATGAGCTTAGTGAGTGGGTAATAACCCGGACAAAGCCACCCACATGTAATTCAAGCGCGTGTTTGTGAGTCATCGAGGGCTAGAAGTTCTACCTCGGATTGCTCACTAGTTGCGCCACGTGGCTGTGGCTCAAAAAACCGGAATTCCAAAATGGCTTGCCCTGGTAAGTGAAAACATGGACCAAAACCTGCGGTTTGCCCTCCGAGCCTTTCATTCCAAGTACCCTGCAACCGCCTCGCGAACGTTCGCCCCTGAGGATGCTCAGTCGCCCTGCCTCACGACGCCCTCTGCTTCTGAAGCATCCAGGCCGAAGGGTGGAAGGATTCGCGGATTCATTGACGGGGATCGATCGCATGGGGATCGCACCAGCAAGCAGAATCCGGGCGGAGGCAGAGGCGGAAAGGCCATCTCGAGAATGCACAGCTTGTGCAGGTGTTTCGATTCACCTTGTCTTTGGGTAGACTGAAAAGCTTCCTGGGCTCCCACAAAGACCATCCAAAAGTTACCCAGGTGTTGCCCCCAACAAGGCATAATATATATATATATATATATGTTTTGAAATATTGACGTGATGCATGACTTGATTCACAAGTTTGCTTGCGCTTTGTTCAAGTCCCGCTGGTCCGGGCTGCCCTTGTGGGCCTACTTTGGGGTCGAAGCGCAACAAGAGGTGAGTCATCAAAACCCGGGTAGATGAAGGTTAGCAAGGGACAATCCCAGCCATAAATAGCTGCGGATCTCCGCCTTCTTATTTCTTTAAGTTAAGTGGTTCTGGGATTACGACCATTTGACCGAGTTTTGATTGTGACTCAGGTGATGGTGTTTCCCAAACAGGCACCCTCCTCTTGCTCAAATGTCGGCTGGCCCCGAACCAGGCTGAATCATCCTTTTCTTCGACGGTCCCTCTGCTTCCGTTTTGATAGTTGCATCATCTTACGGAAGCGGGGAACACAAGCGCTTCTCTGTGGCTCAGTCTGGCTGCTTTGGCCAATCCCACCGGGCGTTCGGGTGGAAACACTGCTGTTCAGACAACCATGGCAGGTTCCTATTGTTCGGGCTTTTTCTGCTTCGGTTGGACATCGGTATCAGACTCTAGCACAGTACCTGGTCAGGGAACCAAAAAGAAAGCCAACATGTCTGAAGTCGCACTACTTTGACACATGTCCATGAACGTTGAACCAAACGTACATACCTCCACAGGGCTCCTTAAAAGATCTCCATGTTGCAACCATTTGAAACATGTTGTTTTTTCAACACCAAGATAAAGTGGGAAACCCACCAGAAAACAAGTTGCAATGTTCAGGTGTATCCATTGTACAGATCCCTGCTCCGCACCTGGGTGTTTCAGCTCCGAAGCGACTCCGTCAGGACCGGCTTGCCTGCGGCATCCCCAGTCGAGCAGCACGGATTCTCTGAACACTCTGAGGATGGGGCAGTCCCAACACATCCATTTGCTTAAGTGTTTGTTTTGTAAAAAAAAAAGAGCTTACTGGTTTTAAAGGGAATATATGACTATTGGACATATTTGTATTTTATTATTTTGTTTCGGGGGGCTGAAGCAAATGAAAGAGTAAGATAGGTGGACCCCGGGAGGCGAATGGGCTTGGAATTCATTTCCCCTTCCAGGCATCAGCACCCGACAAACAGTCGGCAAACGGGGCAGCCGGCTCCGGAGGGAACAGCCCCCGGTGCTTTTTTGAGAGACATCCCTCAGGCCTGGGTTGGCCGCTGCAGGCGTGGGAGTTTGCCTGAAAAGTCGCCTGGGAAACTAGAGGGTCCCCTTGCGCAGACATGCCGTCCGTTTGTTTTCCCCCTTAGATGGATACCTCGGCAGATTTCCTTTTTCTTTTTCCTTAGATGGATACCTCAGTACAGCTTCTTTGTTTTTTTTGTGCGACCTGAGCAACCTGTGCAGGTCTGCATCTTCAGAGATGAACTTTTTCCCGGACAGCATGCGCGGAGTCTCGGATTGAGCAGAAGCTATGGAAGCTTGGAGGCTCGTGCTTTCTCCATTTTCATCTTGGGAAGGGTTCCCGCTAACAAGTTGCTTAAGCCATCGGCCTCCTAATCCGCTTCCACCTAGTTGATGGTTTGGATTGGTGGTTTGGTGGTGGATGGGTTTCCCATTTACCCGCGAGAAAGGGCTAAACTCCAATCCAGTTCCCACCAATCCAATCCAGACCAATTAGAACTGGGTGAATTATAACGACCTCACGCGACCTCACCCCAAATTGTGGTTTATGTAGGGAATCGCCCCCCAACCACCGCGAGTTTCAGGCTAGTGAAATATTCTAGTTCACCCAGATTAGAAGGAAGCTGAGCCTAAAACAAGTCCAAATCCAGTTCCCAATCAAAACCAACTCCAAATCCAGCTCCCACCAAGAAAGAAGCTGTTCCTACCTTGTAAACCAAACAAAGAGCTCCTTGAAATCATGGCTCAATGGCCGAAGCCAATGGCCTACAGGCCCGCAACCCCGCGCAAGAGCGAAGGCGCGGGCACAAGGATTTTGAAGGACGCGGTGGTTTGTTGCGTCAGCGAAGAAAAAAGAATGCACACAAAAAATGAAGCAACTTCCAGGTATTTGGGGCTGTCAATTTTGGGCCAGACAGCAAACCATGATGCGGTGGCTCCCGGAAAGTTCGCGGACATGGTCAATCAGCTTCGTGGTACTTATTTGGAGGATCACGGGTCACAAGCACTCCGCAGCAACTTGCAGGCAAATACCAACATTGCCAGGCTCAGCTTACCTTTTTCGCTGTTTACCTTTTGGTTTCCCTTCATGTTCCTTTTGAAGTCAACTTGTTGGCCGGGGCTGGGGCCCCGGCCGCGTTTAGTTTGAGCTTTTGCCAGGGGTGCCTTTGTTGCCGCTTCACAAAGAAGGCAGGGGCTGCGTGCCAGGGGTGCCAGGGGAAGACGGGAGCCATGTCTCTTGTGAAGGAATTTCCCATGTCCCTCGAGCACGCAAGCATTTTGAGAGCCGGCAAGCGTGGAAGCTGATTTGGGGAGAGACTCCGATGTATTGACCTGCACGTTCCTGCACTGCGGGCGAAAATTTCCTCCAAGCATACCTGCGAGACATACCTTCAAGATCAACGAGCATGGATTAATGCATTAATGAGAAGCAGCCAGATTGTATATGATATTGTGCAATCGCCCTGGAATTGGAAGCCCAATCACAGCTGGCGCACGAATCACTGAAGTGTCAGTGGACATTTAATGGTGTGCAGTGTTGCTACACACAAAAACTGCTTGCCGGGCGTGCTTATCAAGGGCCCATCATGATGAATCCGAGTGAGCAACAACTGGGATGAGTAGCAGTCATTGCCTCGTTCCCCGAGAATCAGCTCCTGGTTCAACTCGATTCTCCCGGAAAGCTTCTCAGAAACTTGTAAAGGTGGGGGGGTTTTGGGGTCCTTCAAAGAACCATTATTGTTGCAAGGGGGGAGCGCTCGCGGGCGCAGCCAATTACTCCACCAACATCACCAACCCCAGGGGCTGCCCAAAGGAGATTCCCAACAAGATGCGGCTTTGATTCCTCAAACAGATGTGGTTGTTTGTTTTGTTTGGGGGTCCTTCTGTTCATTGGAGCCACAATCAAAACCTGGGTATAGATGAAAGGTTAGTAAGGGACAACCATAAACAGGTTTCTGCGGCGCCTTAACTCTTTTTCTGGTTTCGGGTTCGCTATGTTGGTACCCCTCAGTTTTTGACTTATGACGCACCTGCTGTGTGTTTGGGGGGAACTCCAAACAGGTCCCTGAACCATCCCCAAAGTTTTTTTCGTTTTTTTGGAGGGGCCCAAGAACTGGCGGTTTCTGAGAGTGGCGCTCAATACCGCCCAACGGCGTCGGGCCAGGGCCGGCACCCACTTCTCGGGCCGGCGCTAGCCCTCGGCCACGCCGAGCTGGCTGGAGCTTGTTTTGAGTGTCGAAAGCCGGGCGAGGTTCAGGTACTTGAGTCATGGGGGCTGGGGGGGAGGGAGGGGAGGGGGAGGGAGCCCGAAAAAAGCTCTTGGGCTTATTTGGGTTCCCTTCCCCTCCCCTCCCCCCCAGTTCCCATAATCAAAGGGGCAGGCTACTTGGGAAGTGGTTAGTAAGACATGGTTACAAGTCTCCTAAATGGGTTGTAGTATGTTGTAGTTGTAGCCAGGCTTACCCTTCAAGGAGCTACTCAAAATGGTTGTCCTTTCGGCGGACCTTGGGGGGACATCATTTTGGTGGGAACTCATGTCCACCAACTTGTGAGGCGCTTCCCTGTTAACAATCAGAACCATGTGGGCGCGTACCCTCCCGTCCACGTTGCCTTTGGTTCCCTTTTCAAACCAGGATCCCGTAAAGTCAGGTTCCATGTTAGTGGACAGGAGGGCAGTTTATTCGTTGGATTGGTGCTTTGGGAATATGAACCCCTGGGTCCTGCAGAGTCCTTGCGTTTGTATTTGTTTTTGAGAGACGGGAGAAACATATGTGTTATTATTTCAGTTTTTGAGCAGCAGTGCCAGATAGTACCAGTTTGAGGCTCAACACCGATGTCCGCCATCCACAGCAAGAGGAAAGAGCAAGAGTTCAATAACTTGCATGAGGTCAGCAGTATTCAACACAACCAACCACCATAATTAGCCAAGCAAGCTGCAGTTCAACTATGCTCACAGAAGCAGCCAACGCTGTAATGCCGTTGTTTCACCGCTTCCCCACCTCCCTTCCAAAAACCATCCAAAGCCGAATTGGGGAACCATCATTGAAGGCCATGTATACTCCTTGATGGTTTCAGTTTGCCGCCGAGGACGTTTGTCAGCTCAATACAACAAGCTTAGCAAAAAGGCTGATGGCCCTCCCTATTCCACCCAAGTAAATAGCTGTGTGTCAAGATGTGTGAACCCCCAACTGGGGCGCGGTTCTTTTGGCTTCCCTGTTCAAACGACCCAAAAAAGGGATCCCCTAAAAATAATCGCAGGCAAGAGACATCTCGTCATCTCGCATCCAGCTGAGCTTGTTCAAATGCAGTGAGTTGGTGGTTTTGAAACCGATGAAAACAACGAAATGTGGCTGGCTCCCTAATTGTTCGGCATGGCCCTGTGTCAACATAAGGAACCCTTGTGGCAATGGTGTCAAACGCAAGCACTGGGCGAAGTTCGGTTTTGATGCATCGCGGTATCATGTCGCAACATAGTTTAATATACATATTATACATGTGCAAATGATGAAGAAATGACTGAATAAAATAAACCAAATATCAAATTGACAAGTTGAGAAGTAAGATAATAACTGAATAAGTTGATGAGCAAATGGATTATTAAATACAATGTTAAACAATGAAACAAATGAAATATCATAACAACCAAACAGATAAATATATACGCAGTGTTGTACATGCGTGAATATGCAATGCGGATACGTGCATGATACGGTGTACGTTGGAAGGCAACACACAACACAACCATGCGCATATACGCGTCTTGTGCATGTATGCATGTATATATATATATTATTATATATGCATAGAGAGAGAGGAGATGCGTATGTTTGCCAACACATAAAGCAATATGTGACGTCTATTAAATGTGTACTGTATACATACATATATATATATATATGTACATATATATATATATTAATATATATATATATATATATTGATGGTCACCCAAAAACCGGTGACCGTGACGGTCATGGCCAGGCATGAGCCCCCGCCTGGCTCAAAGCGCGGCTGCGGCCGCGGTGGCGGCCGGGCTCACGCCCCGAGGCCATCAAAGAGCAGAGGGTAGGAGGAACCTCGGTGGGTGGGTGGACCATTTTTCAAAAACCAAACAGCCGTCGGGATTTGGTCCCTTTAAAAGGAGAATGGTCCAAACCAGCGTTGGCGTCGCCATTTCTTGCAGGCTTCACTACGCAGAAGCACGAGGACAACGGCTTGCTGGAGCCTCGTGTTTTCTGTGTTTTGGGGGCCAAGAGAGAAGAGGTACTAGGTCCCCAGTAGTGCCCTTTTACCTTTTTTGGGGGAGGGTTCCCCTACTAAAATCGAGGTACCCTTATTTTAACCTCTCTACTGGAGGACCTAGGGTAACATGCAGGTCGACTGAAAAAGCTGGTCTTTGGGACACTGACGTTTCCCGGGGTTGGGTCCCAAGTTTGCCCGGTCAAGCACATTGTGAGGTGGATCCTTGCCGATGCAGAGGCGGCTCATCGGATGTCGGGCTATCCAATAGGCATGTGCGATGGTCCAAGTGGGCATTTGCTTGGTTGGTTTCAGCCCCCTTTGCGTTTTCCAACATTGAGACATCGGAGCAAGCCACGCATGTTTGGCAAGCCCGGCCAGGTCAAGCCTTCGTTTCAGTGCGGCACCCAAATCGAGTGGGTGGCGCTTGCCGCCCGTGGCCTGAACACTTCATGTTGGACTCGTCAAGATCCATCAACAATAGCCCCCTGCATAACGTGGAGCCCAAATCAGGGTGCCCCAAAAGGAGGGTCCAATGATGCGTAGGTTCATGATGCCATGTTGAAATGAAGAGCAATCGCAATGACAGCTGAGGTCTCGTCCGAAGCCCCTTAGTACTACCTAGGGCTTCAAGAACCTGCAAACATGTCGTACCCGGACTAAAACCTTGTGTTTTTCTCGATTTTCTGAAAACATTCGTGGATTCGTGATTGTCTCGATTTGTGATTACGGATTCGTTGGTCCCAAGCACCTCACGCACTCAGCCGGCTGGCAGCGAGCTGAGGCCACACCAGGCGCAGGAAGTGCCGCTTCAGGGCTACGTGGATTGCGAAGGCGTCGGCCGTGGAAATGAGGGAAACGAGGGAAACGCCAAATTGCCCCGGGTTTGGTCGTTGGGAAGTGGCTTCACTTGCCATGTTCAAACAATTCACAAGCACAAACAGTCAGAGATACAAGGCCGAAGTGAAGTCAAGTTTGCCGGGGTGCTGGGTGCTTTTCTATTCGACCCAATTTGAGTTTTGGGGTCTGTGAGCTGACAGAAACCATTGCCCCTTTGCGGGCCTTGCGGCTGCTGACCACGCAGCCAGGTTCCAGACCGCGCGCTTTGGCACACGTTCCAGAACGCACGTTGTTACGGTACATGATGGGGCTACTAAGATGATATGGTGCGTTACCAGCCATTGTCCATTTGGTTTTTGAAGGGGGGTGGTTTTCATGCTTACTCACAAATGGAACCACTGGGAGTGTGACGGATTTTGCCACCAGCCCCGATTCCGTCACGCTGAACTCTGCCGCCTTGACGAAAGCCCACACGATGTATCCAAGCGCTTTCGAAAATTTCGACCTTTGGTAGGCTGTTACACCTGCCACTCCATTTTTGGGGTCCCATCTCATTGCTTCTTGAGACAATGCATACAATATGGCTGCGAATTGTCTTTGGCACCGTCAAAAGTGGTGGACATGGATCTCTATCTAAACGATGTCGAAACAGACGACAAATTCACACGTTTTGCTAAATGGGTGTGGCTCCAAGTTTTAGGGCTAGGCTTACGCAGCTTTGAGTTTGCTTGTAATGCTTTGCCACTTCATTTGCCAGGCTCCAGCCCGGGACAGGTGCCCAACCTGGGTTGGCCCTACAAGGGCCGACATCCGGTTCCGCCGACTCCGACGGAAACACCCCGGGCTGAGGTCACGTGAGGGTCCCAGCCAGGCCTATGGGAAACAAGAGGAAGCCAACCTTGGTGTGGGTTGGGACAGGTGCCCAACTATGGCTCGTGATTTGTTTCTTGCACCGACCCTGACCCTTTGGTCGACATCAGCGAACAAATTTGGGGAGTTATGACTGCCAATCGAATTATTAAATGGAGGATTCCCTGTTCCGGCTCAAAGGGAAGGGTGCTAAAAGGATTGCCAGAGATCACGATCATTAGGGTGATGTCTTCGCATCGTTTGGTCTTTCGCTTGTGCATGTTGAATTGGTCATGACCGCTGTGCCTCTTTGTTTGTTGTGGAAAACGACGAGTGAGTCAGATGCCCATGTTCAACCCTGGTGAACCTTAGATTCCCCCCTTTGGTGGATGAGCACATCTCCTAGCAGCCTTGCAATGAGCCTGATTCGAAGCCCTGCGGCCAATAGCCACTAAACTTCTGACAAAAGAAGGGCGCTTTCCTATGAAGCACGTCCAGACACCCTGCAAAGCATATGACCATGGTCCTCACTTCGGAACATTCTGGCCCCTACAAATTTGGGAACAAAGATGCTACTTTCTATACATAGCTCCCTCCAACTAGCGGAGCCACCTTGATTGGAAAAGCCCCCCCTCCCCCAAGCAAAATGGGGGGGTGGGGGGGAACAGCATGGGGGGCTCACTGCCCAGCACTAAAGTCCTTCAGAACCCAGAACCGCTGCCTTTTTTTCAAAGACTGTGCAGCTAAGGCCAAAACCAGCGGCTGGTGGCTCAGAAGACTGTGCAGCTACGGCTAGTCTCATACTTGAAGCCCTTTCACTTGCATAGGGTTCCAATACGATTCAATACGCGTCTTGGTAAACAATATTATATGTATATACATATATTTAGCATATATGGTAGGACCCCCCGAATACCAAGGTTTTCCTGCCTCAAAATGTACATGTTGCATGTTTTTTTGTATAGAAAGTCGCTTGTTTGAGGAAAACCTGGAGTTGAGTTGGGGTCCTGCTAAAGATCAGAACACATGTCTTAGTACAAGTGCTTGATCATCGTTATGTGTCATTGGATGAGTATAGATCACATAACTGACTGATTTATAATTCAGTGTTGGAGTTTATAAACGTCCAAGTCTGGTTTATAAACTCTTGATCGTTGGATTGGGGTGGGAGGGGGGGGGGGTTCCGTGGCAACTCGGCAACTCTTGAGCGGGTGGTTGCTAGAACTCTTCCCCCCCCCCCCCTCCCCTTCAAGAGTTGCCAGGCAGG